CCTCTGGGACGAATCTTTCTACTCTATACTGCGAACTCTCCCTCGCCTCTGGGACGAATCTTTCTCGACCTCTTTACTGCGAACTCTCGCTGCTTTGCCTCTGGGACGAATCTTCTCGACCTCTTTACTGCGTCTTGCTTGGCTCTGGGACGAATCTTTCTCGACCTCTATACTGCGAACGCTTTCTCGACCTCTTTACTGCGAACTCTCCCTGCTTTGCCTCTGGGACGAATCTTTCTCGACCTCTTTACTGCGAACTCCGCTGCTTTGCCTCTGGGACGAATCTTTCTCGACCTCTTTAACTGCGAACTCTCGCTGCTTTCTCTGGACGAATCTTTCTCGACCTCTATACTGCGAACGCTTTTCTCGACCTCTTTACTGCGAACTCTCCTGCTTGCCTCTGGGACGAATCTTTCTCGACCTCTTTACTGCGAACTCTCCTGCTTGCCTCTGGGACGAATCTTTCTCGACCTCTTTACTGCGAACTCTCCCTGCTTTGCCTCTGACGAACGATATCTTCTCGACCTCTTTACTGCGAACTCTCGCTGCTTTGCCTCTGGGACGTCTCGACTGCGAACTGCTTTCTTTTCTCGACCTCTTACTGCGAACGCTTTTCGACCTCTTTAACTCTCCTGCTTGGCCTCTGGGACGAATCTTTCTCGACCTCTTTACTGCGAACTCTCGCTGCTTTGCCTCTGGGACGAATCTTTCTCGACCTCTTTACTGCGAACTCTCCCTGCTTTGCCTCTGGGACGAATCTTTCTCGACCTCTATACTGCGAACGCTTTCTCGACCTCTTTACTGCGAACTCTCCCTGCTTTGCCTCTGGGACGAATCTTTCTCGACCTCTTTACTGCGAACTCTCCCTGCTTTGCCTCTGGGACGAATCTTTCTCGACCTCTATACTGCGAACTCTCCCTGTGCCTCTGGGACGAATCTTTCTCGCCTCTGCGGACGAATGGGACGAATCTTTCTCGACCTCTTTTACTGCGAACGTTTTCTCGACCTCCTTTACTGCGAACGCTTTCTCGACCTCTTTATGCGAACTCTCCCCTGCTTTGCCTCTGGGACGAATCTTTCTCGACCTCTTTACTGCGAACTCTTCCCCTGCTTTGCCTCTGGGACGAATCTTTTCCGACCTCTTTACTGCGAACTCTCCCTTTGGCCTCTGGGACGATCTTTCTCGACCTCTTTACTGCGGAACTCTCGCTGCTTTGCCTTCTGGGACGAATCTTTTTCGACCTCTATACTGCTGAACGCTTTCTCGACCTCTTTACTGCGAACTTCTCGCTGCTTGGCCTCTGCGGACGAATCTTTCTCGACCTCTTTACTGCGAAACTCTCGCTGCTTTGCCTCTGGGACGAATCTTTCTCGACCTCTTTACTGCGAACTCTCCCTGCTTTGCCTCTGGGACGAATCTTTCTCGACCTCTTTACTGCGAACGCTTTCTCGACCTCTTTACTGCGAACTCTCCCTGCTTTGCCTCTGGGACGAATCTTTCTCGACCTCTTTACTGCGGAACTCTCGCTGCTTTGCCTCTGGGACGAATCTTTCTCGACCTCTATTACTGCGAACGCTTTCTCGACCTCTTTTACTGCGAACTCTCCCTGCTTTGCCTCGGGACGAATCTTTCTCGACCTCTTTACTGCGAACTCTCGCTGCTTTTGCCTCTTGGACGAATCTTTCTCGACCTCTTTTACTGCGAACTCTCGCTGCTTGGCCTCTGGGACGAATTCTTTCTCGACCTCTATACTGCGAATTGCTTTCTCGACCTCTTTACTGCGAACGCTTTCTCGACCTTTTTTAACTTTTTTGACGCATCTTTGATAACGTCTTTACGACGAAGTCGTCTGTGTTAATCTCTTTACAGAGACCTTTATCTCAGTAAAAAGAGACATATACCGTATGCATAATATACTATAATATATATATATATATATAAATAATAAGTATATATAATATATATGTGTGTGTGTGGTGTGTGTGTGTGTGTGTGTGTGTGTGTGTGTGATCTCTCTCCTCTCTCTCTCATAGATAGATACACACACCACACACCACACCACACCACACACACACACACACACCACACACATATATATATATATATATAAATATAAATATATATATATTACTATATATATACACCACACACACAACACACACACACACACACACACTCACACACACCCACAACACACGCCCGGGCGCACACACACACACGCTACACACACACACACACACACCACACACACACACACCACACAACACACACACACACACTAACAATATATATATTATATATATATATATATAGTTAATATATATATTTATTATAGTATATATACCAGGACGCACATACATCACAGTACCACACACCACACACACAAACAACCACACACTCACACACATAAATCCCGTAACCATTTATTCACTAGCACTCACAATTCCTAAATTTCATAAAACATTTCCTTTTTCTATCAGAACTATTGACCTTCCTGTC